CCCGCACCCAGGCTCACACTTGACGTCCAGGCTGGCGTAGCCTTCGAACTGCAGGGTGGTGTTGGGGAAGGAGGCCTGGCAGCCCAGCCGGTGGCCGTTGGCCTCCCTCGTGGGCACGAAGTGCAGCAGCGACACCTGCACCCAGGTGCCCTCGTCCTCCCGCAGCCGGCCCAGCACAGCGGGCTCCCCCAGCCCCTCGTGGCCCAGCCAGCTCAGCTCAGGGCGCAGCTCTGGGCAGTTGTCTGGCACCATGCAGCTGACCTCCACTTCCGTGCCTGCCACCACTTCTGGGGGCACTACGATGTTGGGGGTGTCTATACGAGGCGGGGAAAGGGAGGGCTGAGGAAGCAGCACTGGGCTACAGTCCCAGTCCCACCCCACCCACCCTCCTCCTTGTCCACCTCCATTGCTGGCAATGGTACGCCTCAACGGTACCGCCTCCGCTCCCTGCCTCCGGATCCAGAGTTCCCTTCACCCTTCCTCTTCCTGGTCACCCCGGAGCCCTCCACGGAGCCATCAGAGCACCATCGTAATGAAAATCACAGTGTCGTGGCCAGAGCACTTGACAGCGTTTAACTTGCCAGTCCCTCCCACGAAGTGAGAGGGCGAGTACTGTAATTTTGCTTATTTTGCAGATGAAGAAACTGAGGCTGCAGCTGGCACCAGGTAACACTGGCTACAAACCCCGTAGCTCTGGCAGTGTGGGCTCCCCACACCTCATCGCTTCCCAAGCGGCTCTCCTCTCCCATGCCTGCTTGGTTTACCCTCTGCCTGGCACGTGAGTGTGTGTGTGCAGGGGTGTGTGTGTGTGGTGTGGGTGTATGGTGCATGTGTGTAGTGTGATGTGTGTGGTTTGTGTAGTGTGTGGTGTGTTTGTGATGCATGTGTGTAGTGTGTGGGTAGCATGTGCAGTGTGTGGTTTGTGTGTATGGTATGTGTGCAGTGTGTGTTGTGTGTGTGATGTGTGGTTTGTGTGGTGTGAGTTTAGTGCGTGGTGTATGTGGTGTGTGGTCAGTGTCATGTGTGGTGTGTGTGATGTGGGAGTAGTACATGTACGTGTGCAGTGTGTGGGGGTGTTGTGCAATTTGGGTCGTGTGTGGTATGTGGTTTGTGTAGTACGTGGTGTATGTGTGTGTGGTGTGTGGTGTGTGTGGTGTGGGTGTAGTATGTGGTGTGTATGTGGTGTGTGGTTTGTATCATGTGTGATGTGTGTGCTGTGTGTAGCACGTGGTATGTGTGTGATGTGTGGTAGTGCATGTATGTGTGCAGGTGTGTAGGGTGTAGTGTGTGTGGTTTGTGTAGCATGTGATTTGTGTGTAGTGCATGGTGTGTGTTTGGTGTAGGGGTAGTGTCTGCAGTGTGTGTTGTGGTTTGTGTAGTGTATGGTGTGTGCGTGCAGTGTGTGGTGGGTATAGTGTGTGGTTTGTGTGTGTGGTGTGTACATGGTGTCTGGTTTGTGTAGTGTGTGTGGTGTGTGTTTGGTGTGTGGCGTGTATTTGGTGTGTGGGTAGTGTGTAGGTAGAGTGTGCGGAGTGTGGTGTGTGGTTTGGGTAATGTGTGGTGTGTGTGCAGTGTGTGGTTTGTGTAGTGCGTGTTGTGCATGTTTGTTGTGTGTGGAGTGTGTGGTTTGTGTTGTGATGTGTGGGTAGTGCATATATGTGTACAGTGTGTATACATAGGGTGTAGTGTGTGCATGGTTTGTGTGGTGTGTAGTGTGTGGTGTGTGGGTAGCATGTTCAGTATGTGGTGTATGTATGTGGTGTGTGTACTGTGTGGTGTGTGTAGTGTGTGTGGCGTGTGGGCAGTGTGTGCAGTGTGTGGTGTGTAGTTTATGTGGTGTGTGGTGTGTGTGTGGTGTGTGGTTAGTATGTGCAATGTGTGGAGTGTGGTTTTTGTAGTGTGTGTGTTTGGTGTGGTGTGTGTGTGTGTGGGTTCTATGTGTGTAGCATGTGCAGTGTGTGGTGTGTGGTTTTTGTAGTGTGGTGTTTGTGTGTGTGATGTGTGTTTGGTGGGGTGTATGTGTGGTGTGTGGGTAGAGTGTGTGTAGCATATGCAGTGCGTGGTGTGTGGTTTGTGTAGTGCGGTATGTGTTGTGTGTGTGTGGTGTGTGTGTGTGTGTTTTGTGTGTGGGCAGTGTGTAGGTAGCATGAGCAGTGTGTGGTGTGTGGTTTTTGTAGTGTGTGATGCATGTGTAGTGTGTGATGTGTGTGTGGTGTGTGGTTTGTGTAGTGTGTGGTGTGTGTGGTGTGTGGGTAGTGTGTAGGTAGAGCGTGCAGTGTGTAGTGTGTGATTTCTGTAGAGTGGTGTGTGTGTGTGTACTGCACCTCTGCAGTCCCTTTCCGCACCAGGGTGAACCCAGCTGTCTCATAGGGACCCAGCACTGAGGGCTCCAAGCAGCAGCGCCACTCAAATGAGTGACTGCCTCATTTGAAATGAGGCAGGGGGATCCCCTGAAATCAGGCAGTGTGCCCTATTCTGATTGCTGTGTCTGGCCATAGCTGTATTCTATTTGGCTTAAAGGATTTAAAAAAAAAAAAAGAAAATCTGAATCAGCAGCCAAAATTCAAGAATTAGGAGATTACACCAAAGAATCCAAAATTCTGGTTTATCTTGAAAACTCAGAACGCCTGACAGCCATGGCCCTGCTTTCTGTTGGCCAGAGCTAGAGGCCACGTGCCAGGTGCTGCCCTGGGCACCTGACAGCATTTCACTCATTGCCTTAAGTGCTGTTCTTATCCCCATTTTCCAGAAGAGAAAACCAAGGCCCAAGGAAGTTAAGTCACTTGCCCGAGGTCACTACGCTGAAGTGGGGACCCAGCAGCCTTGCCCCTACCCACTGGCCCCACTGCCTTTCTCCAGGTGTTTCCAAAAGAGTAGGAGCACCTGTTTCCCTCTGAGGCTAGCAAGACTATTCTGGGGCCCTGCTTTGTTCATGTCTGTCATCTGCATGGTCTGCGTGGGCCTTGAGGTTTGCACCCCCAGCCAAATCAGCACCTCCCAGATCTGCCATCCAGGCCTGCTGGGGAAGGTGTGGGGAGGCCTTCCGGCCACACTCCTTCCTGTCCCGCTGCCGCAGCCCCCGGTGCCTGCACAACCGCTGGGGACTCACTGATGATGTCCAGGACGCTGTGCTCTGAGAAGGTGTACTGGTTGTAGCCACCCAGGTCCCCACGGAAATAGTACTTCCCGCCCAGCTCGGGGCTGACGTTGCTGAGCAGGAGGGTGCAGTTGCGCAGGCCCAGGTCCCCCAGGAGGCGGCTGCGGCCCTGGAAGCTCTCGTGGACGACTTGGGTGCGTGACTTGAAGACCACCGGAGGGTAGTTCTTGGGGTAGGGGCTATTGAAGTACCAGACGCCATGCACCACGGCGGGCCGCAGCTCATCCGGGAAGTCAAAGCGGCAGGGGATGGAGACGCACGTGCCTTCGAAGGCCGAGATGGATGAGGGCATCCAGGCACCCCAGTGACCCCCTCGGGAGGCTGCGGGCAAGCAGGAGAGCTGAAGTTCAGGGACACATCCTACCTGATCACCCCCTTCAGCTCCCATCCCCGACCACATGCCAGGGGGTGCAGGGACCCACCTCCAACCTGCCCAGGGGCCAAGGCCCTTGGGTCCCCAGCACCTGTCGGCCATTACCTGAAATCATAATCCAGAACAGAGGCAGTGCCGTGAGGAATATCATTCTGTACAGCAAGTGAGTGATCGCTGGAAAGGGAGAGGAGAGGGTTAAAGGCTGGGGGAAGTGAAAGGGGGTGTTCCATGTGGCCTTCAGGAAGGGGCTCATTCACATGCTAGCTGCTGCTGCTATTATTATCTATTTATGCGTTTATTTACTTGTTTTTCTGAGACAGGGTCTTGGCTGGAATGCAGTGGCACAATCACAGCTCACTACAGCCTCGAAATCCTGAGCTCGTGTCATCCTCCTGTCTCAGCTTCTGGTATGCTCCACCACACCCAGTTAATTTTTCTTCTTTTTTGTGGAAATGGGGCGGGAGGGGTCTCACTATGTTGCCCAGGCTGGTCTTGAACTCCTGGCCTCCGGCAATATTCCTGCCTTGGCTTCCCAAAGGACTACCGGTGTAAATCACCTTGCTGGTCTGCTGATATTTTTTAACTTTTTACTTTTTGAGATGGGGTCTCAGCTCTGTCGCCCAGGCTGAAATGCAATGGTGCAATCATGGCGCACTCCCTGCAGCTTCAATCTCCCAGGCTTACGCGATGCTCCAGAGTAGCTGGTTCCTCAGGTGCACACCACCATGCCTGGCTAATTTTATTGTAGTTTATTTATTTAGTTATTTATTTATTTATTTATTTTTAGAGATGGGAGTCTTGCCATATTCCACGTTGCTCAGACTGGTCTCAAACGCCTTGGCTCAAGCGATTCTCCTGCCTCAGCCTCCCAAAGTGTAGGGATTACAGGCGTGAGCCACCTCACTCGACCTGCTGCTATTACTTATAATTACAAACCCTTTGATGGCATTGGCCATGCGCCAGCCCTCATTGCTTATTCTGCTGTCTTAACTCATTTGATCTCTTTGAGGAAGACGCATTATCCTCATTTTATAGCTGAGGTCCAGAAAGGTTAAGTGACTCGCCCAAGGCCACACAGTCGGTCTGCAGTCTTAGCCGCATGCCCTGTCTCTGTGCAGTGATGATGTGCTGATCAGTATCTTTGTCATTATGATGGCCCTGGAGAGCTCCAGCAAGTAAGAACCAGAGAGCCAAGGCAGGGCCAGCATTGCAAAGCGGAAGCAAGGGAAGAGAATTGGTACCCTGCCCCTCACCTGAGTGTCCCTGAGTTGGGAACGTCTTCTGGGTCCACCTGAAGCTGCCAGACAGCCTGCAACAAGAGTCACTCAGGTGCAAGGGGGTGGGATCGGGGCCCCCAACCCGCCCTCGCTTCAGTATCTCCTGCATGGGTTGTGATCTGTTGTCAGGCTGCCCGTGTGGTCTCTCATCCTGCCTGGGACCCTCCCACACAGCCTCGAAGCCACTCTCTGGCAACAACTCCCCACAAGCTGGGGTGTGGGAGAACTGTGGGGAGGGAAGGGGGAATGGCCGCATCGGGGTACGGGGGTGAGGCAGAGGGGTGTGGCGAGTGGAGTGAGGGAGCAGATGTCCCACGGCCGGGGCCTGGGGGTGGCGGGCAGGGACCCAGCGCCATCAATGACTGGGTTTCACAACATCAGCATTCCCGACATGCCGCGTGAATTCCTGCCGCCCTCTCCCACCCCACAGACGGCCCCTGGTGTCTGCACCCTCACCAGAAGCTGGTCCCCGGTACAAAAGAGTCCTGTTCCCTCGGGGAGAGGATGCTTTAGCCTGCGGGGGGCTTTCAGGGTGGGTGGGGAGTGAGAAAGGGGTCAGGCACTCCTGACTGGGCTTTGCGCGGGGCCAGGAAGGCCCAGGGTGGGGGCTAGCGAGCCCCTGGCACCCTGCTGCTCCGTGGGTTGCCTTGGGGTTGGAGCCAGGGTTTCCAAGTGATTGCTTTTCCCAGCCTTCACCACCCTCTTCCCACGGACAGAGACGCGTGCACACACATATCCAATCGCCGGGATGAAATGTGACAGATGTAGCCCCAGTCAGAAGGGGCAGGCACACACAGCAGAGACTCATGCGGACACTCAGACAGGACCCTGAACACACAGACAGGCACGGGGACCCCTGTGCCCACAGAGATGGGCTGGCACTCACACAGTTCCCGAGGCATGCGTGCAGTGCCCCTGCTGCTGTCCACACACACCTGGACAGACATAGACCTGGCATTTGGTGTGCGCGCGCGCACACACACACACACACGCGCACACACAGCCCTGCATGCATGGCAGGCTGACAAAGATGCAAGGAACTGCACACACACACTGAGGATGGCTACACACGGGTCCAGCCAGACACGCGCCAGTGGACACCTGGCCGACGCTGCCCTTGCACCTGTGACGGGAAGGTACAGGTGAGAGATGCAGATAAGGATGAGCACATGCCCGGGCAGACATGAAACCATCAGGTAAATCATGTACTCTTAACAGCGGGGAAAGCCAGTTCTCGGGATGGGGGCCAAATCAACCTCAGCTGTTACAATGTGTGTGGTCACAGTCCATAAACATATGTACAGCAGATCTGTTGGGTTAAAATGTCAAGGGAAGGATGAGATGAGGACAAATGCATCTAGAAAGTTTCCTTATTTGGGGCCGGGCGCAGTGGTTCACGCCTGTAATCCCAGCACTTTGGAAGGCCAAGTTGGGAGAATCTCTTGTGCCCAGAAGTTTAAAACCAGCCTGGGCAATATAGTGAGAGTACCGTCTCTTAAAAACATAGTAATAAAAAATAAAAAGTTTCCTTAGTGGGGATTAATGAATAAAAGTTGACTGAGGCTCACAGAGGAAGGTGCATGGGCAGCCGTGTGTGTGTGTGTGCGCGTGCGCACACACACACACACACACCTGTTGGGTGCCCAGGTGCTAGAATGCAGTCACTCACAGTCCATTGCCCCATCCACCTCCCAGATTGCAGACTGCAGGTGTCTGATCACCTGGACATCCTTCCATTCTTCAGCCAGACCCAGACCTTCTCCACCCCATCTGCCCCGCACTTGGGAACCCCAAGGAAACCTCTCCTGCAAAACCTTCACCCACAAGGGGTGCTGAGGGGGGCTCTTTGTTCTTTCTCTCTGCGGTTTCTTCCCAGAGCCCCATCGCTGCCCCAGTGATGGTCCCAGCCCATCCCCAGAGCAGCTCCAAGCCACACCCTCCTGCATCCTAAATCAGTGGCGGTGCACAGCGACGCTTCCTCACCCAGAGCACCTGACTCTGCTCACATCTGGGTGCCACTGCCCCGGCACCCTGCTCCCCATGCCCCGGCCTCCCTGCCATCGTACTCACTTGGACGCAGTTGCTTCTGCACCTCTGCTCAGCTGGCCCAGCTCGCAGTCCCCTGCCTCCCAGGGTCTAGGCCCCCACTTGCCAGCCCCTCCCCTCCCCCTGGGTGCCAGGGGCCGCCTGCCTCCAGGGCCCAGCTCCTCCCTACCCCCGGGGGAGGGGGGCACAAAAGGGCCCTTGTCACCACAGGGCTCGGACTGGGCAGCCTGACGCTTGGGTTCTCCTAGCTCCTTCCTGGAGGGGTTGGGGGTGGCTGCCTTGCTCTCTCCCCATCCTCCATCCCTGAACACCCTGATTCTGGGTCCTGGGGAGGGGGGGCAGTCTAACCTCTTTGGAAGTCCCAGGCTGAGGGACAGAGGCATTGTCCTCAGGGAATCTTAGTGGCAACATTAGGTGGGCAGCAGGAGGAGACAGGTCCTTTCCACCCTCAACGTCAGTGCCACCTCCTCTTGCCATCTGAAATGACCTTCCGTGTTCACCAACTCCTTTCATGAGAACATGACCTCCACCAGGCCAGAAGCCTTGTCTTGGATATTCTCAATCCATCCCCGCTCATAGACAAGTTCCTGGCAGGCAGTTGAGCTTAATAAACAGCATGGGTGGTTGAATGTGTTCCCCAGAGCCCCGGGGTACCTTCAGACTCAGGGCCTGGGCACCTGCTGCTCATTCTTTGTGGAAAGCAGTCCCCACTCCATAGCACTCCCCGCTCTGGCACTGGTTGCCGTTCACCCGTCCTGTAGGTTCAGCAGCCCGGGTGCCGCTTCCCCCGGAAGCTTTCCCATCTTCCCCCATTAGCCAGGCCCCTCCATTGCAATGCTGTCCTTTCCTTCTGTAGCCTTGGCAGGCTGGCCCGTGTGCACCCTAGGTCTGCCCGCCTCTGCCTCCCACTAACCCAGGAGCTCTCAGAGGCAGGGGCTCACCAGAAACCTATCTGCCACTCTATCATGTGCACTCTTCTGTCCCCTGGGGCAGTGTGCTTGGTGCACAGAGGACTGTGCTGACCGAGTTGGGCGAGGACCTTCTGAGTGCAGATTCCACCCCTTGGTCACGACTTCTGCCAGGTGGGTGGGGGCTTGGGACAGCTGGAGGTGGCGTGACAAAGTGCAGCAGTGATTTCACCATGAGCTGTTCAGCCGCACTGGGACATCTCCTCTCCTCCTTCAGGCCAGAGCAGTGGCGGAGGGGGGGTCCTCGCTCTCAAGGGAGAACCCAGGGGATGAGGGGCGGGGAAATCCCTCAGACCAGGGAGAGAAGTGTTGTGGGGATGTGGGGGAGTTGGAGGGGGAGGGGGAGTCCCACCCCCACCCCAGGCTTCATGATGTCAGACTCTGCCCGTGCCTTTCCCAGTCCGGGACAAAGACCCATTGAGAGTTGGGTGGGGCTTGAACGCCTGGGTCCTGGAGAAGAGAGGGGCCTGGTGCCTGGGCTTTGGTGGTGGTGGTTGGGGTGACAAGGAGATCCTGGAGGTATTTGCATGTCCCAGCCTTCAGCATCAACACCCACCTCGTTGGAGCTGGAGTTGTGTGCTGGTGTAGTGTGAGGCTCCATCTCCTCCCTGGGTGTGAACTGAAGGCTGTTGCTGGGGAGAGGACAGTGTCCCACAGGAGCACTCGCAATAGTCGCTGACATCTGCAACTTGGGTCTCCAGGAGCCCTGTGGGAGCGAGGCAGCTGGAGCCCATGAGAGGAAGGGGCTGGGTGAGAGGACCTGTGACTGGTGGGCAGGTACACTGTCTAAGAGGACAATCGACCTGCAGATCCAGTGGCCGGTGCTGCCGCATCAGCTGATCTCTTACGAGAAAGCAGGTGTATCAGTTTTCCAGGACTGTTACAACAAAGTTTCACAAACTGGGTGGCTTAAAAACCAGAATTGAGGCCAGGCACGGTGGCTCACACCTGTAATCCCAATGCTTTGGGAGGCCGAGGTGGGTGGATCACGAGGTCAGGAGATCGAGACCATCTTGGCTAACATGGTGAAATCCTGTCTACTGAAAATACAAAAAAATTAGCCGGGCGTGGTGGCGGGCTCCTGTAGTCCCAGCTACTCAGGAGGCTGAGGCAGGAGAATGGCGTGAACCCGGGAGGCAGAGCTTGCAGTGAGCGGAGACTCCTCCACTGCACTCCAGGCTGGGCGACAGAGCAAGACTCCAACTCAATAAATAAATAAATAAATAAATAATTTTTTTTAAAAAACCGCCAGCATTGAGCTTGAATTCCAAGATCAACAAGATCAAGGTGCTGGCAGTATTGGTTCCTTCTGAGGGTGTGAGGATCTTTTCTGGGCCTCTCTCTGTATGGCATCTTCATCTTCACATGCTCTTGCCCCTGTATTCACCCCTGCCCAGATTTGCCATTTATTTATTTATTTATTTCTGAGACACAGTCTTGCTTTGTCATTGAGGCTGGAGTGCAGTGGTGCAATCATAGCTCACTGCCACCTCGACCCTCCAGATTCAAGCGATTCTCCTGCTTCAGCCTCTCAACAGTAACTGGGACTACTGGCTCTTTTTTTTTTTTTTTTTTTTTTTTTGGTAGAGACATGGTCTCACTATATTGCCCAGGCTGGTCTTGAATTCCTGAGCTCAAGAGGTCCTCCTGTGTTGGCCTCCCAAAGTGCTGGGATTACAGGCGTGAGCCCCCGCACCCTGTCAGATTTCCCGTTTTTATAAGGAAATCAGTTCTATTGGATCAGGATTCGCCCATCTCGTTTTAACTTGATTACCTCCGTGAAGACCCTGCCTCCAACTAAGGTCACATTCTGAGCTACTAGGGATTAGGACTTCAATGTGACTTTGGAATTCCTAGCAACAGGAATTCAGAAGGAAGCTCTCGGCCATGGGGAGCTCTCACTTAAAGCTTAAAGCTCTCGTAGACAGGGGCTGAGGCTTGATCCATCCAAGGGTCCTTGCTGTCCTCAGACAATGCTGGCAGCTTCACAACCAGTCCTCCGCAGGACTGCGGCTTGCTCAAAATGCAAGTTCAAGGGCCCCACCTTGCACCTGTGGAATCAGAAATTCTGGAGGCCCAGTTATCTGCATTTTGTATGTTTATTTATTTTACAGACAGAGTGTCACTGTGTCACCCAGGCTGGAGTGCAGTGGTGCCATCATAGGTCACTGCAGCCTTGAATTCCTGGCCTCAAGTAATCCTCCCGTCTCAACCTCGTAAACTACTAGGATTATAAGTGTGTTCCACCACACCCAGCCTCATCTGCATTTTATTTTTATTTATTTATTTATTTGATTTTTTTTGAGACAGAGTCTCATTCTGTCACACAAGCTAGAGTGCAGTGGCATGGTCTTGGCTCACCACAGCCTCTGCCTCCCAGGTTCAAGCAATTCTTATGCCTCAGTCTCCCGAGTAGCTGGGACTACACGTGTGTACCACCACCACCACATCCAGCTAATTTTTGCATTTTTAGTAGAGGCGGGCTTTCACCGTGTTGGTCAGGCTGGTCTCGAACTCCTGGCCTCAAGTGATCCTCCAGCCTCAGCTTCCTAAAGTGCTGGGATTACAGGCTTGAGCCACTGCACCTGGCCCCATCTGCATTTTTACAGGCCCTCCAGGAGATTTTGAGCACGCTGAAGTTTGAGTATCTCTGCTTTATATGTTCTCCCGTCTCTCTAGGATCACCCCAGAGAACTGCTTGCTCGGGAGAGAAGAGCACCCCATGTCATTAAGTGTAATTCCTGATTTCAGGTTTCCCACCTACCAGGAGGGAGGCCTCCACCATCCCCTGTCAATATGAATCCTTTACATTGAGGAAGCATTGGACAGTTTCCAAAGCAATTTCACACTCATCCCCTTTGCTGAGCAACTCTAGAGCCAGATAAGCTAAGTCCTGTACAGATGCTTCTGTGTTTTTTTTGTTTTTTGTTTTTGTTTTTGTTTTTGTTTTGAGATGGAGTCTCGTTCTGTCACCCAGGCTGGAGTGCAGTGGCATGATCTTGGCTCAGTGCAACCTCTGCCTCCCAGGTTCAAGTGATTCTCCTGCCTCAGCCTCCTGAGTAGCTGAGATTATTTTTAGGTGTGCGCCAACACGCCCGGCTAATTTTTGTGTTTTCAGTAGAGATGGGGTTTCACCAATGTGGCCAGGCTGGTCTCAAACTCCTGACCTCAGGTGATCCACCTGCCTCAGCCTCCCAAAGTGCTGGGATTACAGGCGTGAGACACTGCACCCAGGGCTTCTGTTCTTTTAAAGGTAAGGAGAGGCCAGGCATGGCGGATCACACCTGTAGTCCCAGCATTTTGGGAGGCTGAAGTGGGAGGATCATTTGAGGCCATGAGTTTGAGACCCACCTGGACAACACAGCCAGATCCACATCTCTACACAAAATACAAAACTTTAGCGGGGTGTGGTGATAGGCACCTGTGGTCCCAGCTACTCAGGAGGCAGAGGTGGGAGGATTGCTTGAGCCCAGGAGGTCAAGGCTGCAGTGAGCCATGATCACACCACTACACTTCAACCTGGGCTATGGAGCAAGACCCAGACTAAAAAAATAAAATAAAAAATACGGATGAGGAGGTGGAGCTCCGGATACGAAGAAGATGCATGCATGATGTTATAGCTAATAAGAAGCCAAGCTCACCACAACTCCCCTCTCCCTACCCCTCAGTCTTCATTCAGGAAACCTCCCCTCCCAGAGGACAAGCCTCCGTGGATTCCAAAGCGAAGGCAGACGTTGGTGGTGTACCGGGACTCATCTGGCTCCCAGCTGGGCTTAGTTTGGCTCACAGAATGTTAATGTAAAAAGACAAATTCCTTTGCTCAGTTGCCAATACTGTAAAAGCAAGAAATCGCAAATAAAAATAGGAATTCCCACCTTCTCTTGACGAAATCAGAAGCTCTAGCCAGGTTTGCCTGCCTTGAGCGCGGCGGCCGTGTCTTGGAGCCCTCTCCCGCCAAGCCTGGGCCTTCCCACTCTCTGCCCACACCCAACATTGAGGCTGAATGACCAATGCCCTTTACCATCAAGTGAGAGCTGTTGCTTCCTAGGAGCTAAGAAGACGGTGAAATACAGCTCCTATCTCTGTTTCTATCAAATGTGGGTGGGCTGGGCACGGTGGCTCACGCCTGTAATCACAACACTTTGAGTGGCCGAGGCGGGTGGATCACTTGAGGTTAGGCGTTTAAGACCAGCTTGGCCAACATGGTGAAACCCCGTCTCTACTCAAAATATGAAAATTAGCCAGGCAAGGTGGCGGGCGCCTGTAGTCCCAGCTGTTCAGGAGGCCGAGGCAGGAGAACCACTTGAAACTGGGAGGTGGAGGTTGCAGTGAGCCGAGATCGCACCACTGCACTCCAGCCTGGGCGACAGAGTGAGACCCTGTCTCAAAAATAAACAAATAAATAAATAATAGAAATATTTTCCCAGTTTCAGTTTCTAATACATCAGGCAACTAGAGATATAGCCCACTTCAACAAGAGCTTTTTGGAGTCCTCAATAATTTCTCAGAATGTAAAGGGGTCCTAAGACCGAAAGGTGTGAGGGCCACGGCCTTCAGAGGCCATCCAGGTGTAGTGAATGAGCGAGATACAGGGGATTGTTACATGAGAGCATCTTAAGTTGTATTCTTTCAGGAAGGGCGCACTTTGCACGTGAAACATATAGGAATATGGTTCACCTCCACAAGACACTGAGTTCCTGCCCATTCTTTTTTTCCTTTCTTTCTTTCTTTTTTTTCTTTTTTCTTTTTTTTTTTTGAGACAGGGTCTCACTCCATCACCCAGGCTAAAGTGCAGCAGTGCTATCTTGGCTCACTGTAACCTCCACCTCCAGGGTTCAAGTGATTCTCTTGCCTCAGCCTCCTGACTAGCTGGGATTATAGGCACATGCCACCATGCCTGGCTAATTTTTGTAGAGATGGTGTTTCACCATGTTGGCCAGGCTGGTCTTGAACTCCTGACCTCAAGTGATCCACCTGCCTCAGCCACCCAAAGTGCTGTAGGCATGAATCACTGTCCCTGTCTCCTCCCATTCTTAAAAGCTGTATCACTCTCATTTTGGTTGCCCGACTTTTTTCTTTTTTGACACCGAGTCTTCTTCTGGAACTCCCAGTCTTTAACGATCCTCCCACCTCAGCCTCCTGAGTAGCTGGGACCATGTAACCGCATTGGGCTAGAAACTGGGACATTTAAAAGCATGAGATACACCAGCACACAATCCATTAGCCATCTGGTGATGATGCCATCAGGTGTCACGGAGCCTCCTGGAAACTCCATTGTATACTCATGAGAGAACCACGGTGAAAAAGGCAAATAAACATCTTTGTAGGCCGGGCGTGGTGGCTCACGCTTGTAATCTCAGCACTTTGGGAGACTGAGATGGGTGGATCACTTGAGGTCAGGAGTTCAAGACCAGCCTGGACAACATGGCAAAATCCCATCTCTACTAAAAATACAAAAATTAGCCGGGCTTGGTGGCGCGTGCCTGTAGTCCCAGCTATTCAGGAGGCCGAGGCAGGGGAATCGCTTGAACCCAGGAGGTGGAGGTTGCAGTGAGCCAAGATCGTGCCACTGCACTCCAGCCTGGGTGACAGAGACTCTGCCTCCAAAAAAAAAAAAAAAAAAAAAAAAAAATGTCTTAGTAGTTTCCACCTTCAGGAGCCCTACAAAAGGAGTCCCTGGATCTTACTTTGAGAACCTTTACAGCAGTGTCCACTGTTTTGGCTTCCCTGAGCCACACTGGAAGAAGAATTGTCTTGGGCCACATGTAAAACACACTAACACTGATGACAGCTGATGAGAAAAACAAAAAAAAAGTCACAAAAACTTATCATACTGCCTTAAGAAAGTTTACGAATTTGTGTTAGGTGCATTCAAAGCCATCCTGGGCTGCATGTGGCCCACGGGTGGGACAAGCTTGCCTTATAGGCACTGATTTCTACGGCTGTTTTAGGAAGATCTCAAGGAGAGGAAACATTAAGTTTCATCCCCGGTTATTGCAACATGAAGGGGGAGAACAGAAACGAATTTTCTTCACCAACTTTCCTGGCAATTTCCAGGACACACCAGCCCCACATGACCCAGCAAGCACTGGCGCTTGCAAGGCAGGGTCAGGACAAGCTCTTAGCACAGGCCCTTGGCAGAGAGAAAGGACAACAGACACTCTGGTTTGGAAAACAAAAGAATCAGCCGTTTTATTCCAAGACCTGTGTTCTGGGGCAGCAGGAATAAATAAGGAAGGAAGGGGATGGGGGCAGGGCAGGAAGGTTCTACGTCCTGCAGCACATCCCACACTTTGATCGATGACAGCAGCCGCAGCAGAAAATGCAGATGGGGAAGTGGGTGTCTCGCCTCCTTCGCCTCTGGAGCATGGGCTGTGAGAAGGAAGGGAGTGTGAGCAGGGAACCGACCTGGGCACGCGGAGGGAGCAGGGGGCTGGGAAGGGCGTCACTGGTGTGCTCACCGTCCAGCTGGCCCTGGCTCCAGCTCTGTCCTGAGGTTGCAGCTCTGCAAGTTGTCCCGTCTGTGAAAGCAGAAGGGGGCGTTGAGGATGGCAGGGGGCCCAGCGGACCTCTGAGACTGGCTCCCAGCAACCTGCTCCTCTCCAAGTGGTTTAAACCCAGAGCTCAGTTGGACTCCTAGGAGGGACCTTGCTTTCTTGCTTCTGCTCACCTTCCCATGGGCGGCTCTTCCTAAAAAAAAAACCTCCCAGATCCGCCTCCTCCTCTTTCCACAGCTCCTACTCTTCTTTGGGACATCATCTTCCCTTGCCTGGATGACAGTACCAGCCTCCTAACACATCTCCCTGCATTCTTGCCCCTCAATCCATTTGCCACATAGCAGAGTCACTTTTTTTGTTTGTTTTTTAGACAGAGTCTCCCTCTGTCGCTCAGACTGAAGTGCAGTGGCACAGTCATAGCTCCCTGCAGCCTCGACCTCCTATGCTCAAGCGATGCTCTCACCTCAGCCTCCTGAGTAGCTGGGACAGCAGGTGCACGCCACCACACCCGGCTAATTTTTAAATTTTGTGTAGAGATGGAGTCTGGTTGTGTTGCCGAAGCTGGTCTCGAACTCCTGGGCTCAAGTGATCTTCCTACCTTGGCCTCCTGAAACTCTGGGATTACAGGCGTGAGCCATGGTGCCCGACTGGCAGACTAATTTTTTAAAAAACGTGGCCAGTGAGATTGTGGTTTTCTCCATTTAAAAAACCTATAGGAGGCTGGGCACAGTGGCTCACGCCTGTGATCCTAGCACTTTGGGAAGCCGAGATGGGAGGATCACCTGAGTTCAGGAGTTCAAGACCAGTCTGGCCAACATGGTGAAACCCTGTCTCTACTAAAAGTACAAAAATTAGCTGGGCGTGGTGGCGGGTGCCTGTAATCCCAGCTACTTGGGGGGCTGAGGCAGAAGAATTGCTTGAACACGGTAGTTGGAGGTTGCAGTGAGCCCAGATGATGCCATTGCATGCCTGCCTGAAAGACATAGCAAGACCCCGTCTCAGGAAAAAAAAAAAAAAAAAAAGCGTATGGGGGCTTCCTCTTTACTCCAAGGAAAAGTCAGCGTCTGTACGGTTGCCCACAAGACTTTGGGACTCTGCCCACCCCCACCCCTCGGCCTTATCCCCAAGTCCCACCGTCTCCTCTTGCTCAGCCTGACCCTGGGCTATGCCAGTTCGTCCTCTCCTCGGATCTCTGCTGCCTCCATCTCTCACCCTCCAAGACGAAGGCCAACTGTCACTTTCTCATGAAACATTTGCTTGACTGCCAGCCCCTTGACCGTGCCGTGGGCCCGCCACCCGTGGCATGTGCCTGGTGTCCCAGCTATTTGGGATGCTGAGGTGGGAGGATTGCTTGAGCACAGGAGGTCGAGGCTGCAGGGAGCTATGACTGCATCACTGCATTCCAGCCTCAGCAACAGAGCATGACCCTGTCTCTAAAAAACAAACCAAAAAAGTGACTTTACTGTGTGGCGAATGGATCACGGTCACTCTACCACCGTCTGTTATGTGATTCACGAATAGCATGTACTAGACACAATTATTTGTTCATGTTTTCATCAGTCTTTAACGAATTCCCTGACCAGGATGAGAGGTCTCCTCTCTCATCTACCTTGTTCATAGCCTTGTCCTCACTGTCTAGAATAAGACTCCACACAGCGTAAGGGCTTCGTAGATACCCACAGAATTAGGACCTTCCAATCCCTGTCACTTGGTGCTTCATCGATTTCTGTTCTTTTTTGGAGATGGAGTCTTGCTCTGTTGCCAGGCTGGAGTGCAGTGGTGCAATCTCAGCTCACTTTGCAACCTCCACCTCGCAGGTTCAAGTGATTCTCCTGTCTCAGTCTCCCGAGTAGCTGGGATTACAGGCACCTGCCACCACGCCTGGCTAACTTTTGTATTTTTAGTAGAGATGGGGTTTTACCATGCTGGCCAGGCTGGTCTCAAACTGACCTCAAGTGGTCTGGGCATGAGCCACCGTGCCTGGCCTGGTTCCTGTTCAGCTGCCAGCCCCCCTGAGCTGTCCTGAGCTCTGCTCAGTGCTTGGGTGTCTCTAGTGCCCTAGGCTGGGGCCTGGCTCTCCCATCCCTGCTGCCCTTCTAAGGACCCAGGCCACTGGGCTCTCACCTGTTGTGGGAAAACGGAGCCACTGGTCAGGCTGGTGAGGAGGAGAAGGAGGAGGAGGCAAGTGGCCCAGATCTGGGAGCTCAGTGCCATCGTGTCGTCTGTCTGGCTGTCCCACTGCTAGGTCTTGAGCTTGCTCTGGTGTCTGGGACCCAGTGACAGTCGCTTTTATGGGGCCTGCCAGGGGAGGCAGTGGTCTGGGCCCCCTCCCCTTTGCTCTGACTCATTTCCAAGAAGGTGGTGGCGCCGAAAAGGCGGGAGAGATAAGCGGGAACAGAGCGACAGGGAACAGGGTTGTGTCACCCTCAGCCGGCAGAGGTGTGTTCAGGGGGTGGGGCAGACGGGGTCACAGACACACACTGCTCGCCAGTCATCTGGGGAGCCCTTTCCCCATCATGATGTCATTCTGCTGATTGAGAAAAAGTTACCCCTTTTGCTTCAGCGGTTAAGCAGTTTGATGATCTGAATCAAGGTTCCGCTCTCCTTCACCCACTTCCCTACCGCCTGCATGCACACAGGGCATGGCCAGCAGCTGCCAGGCTCCTCAGGAGTGTCCGGCATATTGGGGGAAGCATCCATTGCTTTAAGCTCTCACCACACATGCATAGGTTCTGGCAGGGAACAGTGGATAGCCCTGAGCATGGCGAGCATCAGCGTGTGCCCCTGATCCGCACGCGGTGTTTTCCCAGCGTCAGACCCTTGAGACGTGTCTCTGGTAACTGGAAAATGTTTGAGCAAACTTTTGGCCATAAATGACAGCAGTAATATGGCCCAGTGCGGTGGCTCATGCCTGTAATCCCAGCACTTTGGGAGGCTGAGGCAGGAGGATCGCTTGAGCCCAGAAGTTCAAGACTAGCCTGGGAAACGTAGGGAGACACCATCTCTACAAAAAAAAATTTTTTTAAACAAATTTAGCCAGGCGTGGTGGCACACATCTGTAGTCCCAGCTACTTGGGAGGCTGAGGCAGGAGGATCGCTTAAGCCAGGGAGGTTGAGGCTGCAGTGAGCTATGATCGTGTGACTGCATTCCAGCCTGGGTGACAGAGCGAGACCCTGTCTATAAAACATAAAATAGCAGTAATAGGAATAGCTGACATCTGCTGTCTGATGAGTACATTTTATACGATGGCACATGTGTTGACTCACTTCTGCACCAACTTAGCCTGCGCCGCCTGTTCTCCCAGCAGCACTTGCTGCCCCACCTTCAGCTCTGCTCTGTGTTCAGGGGCTGCCTTCGCGGTCACCCAACCCCAGGGTCTTGGGCTCCCCAGACCCCACTCCCTTTCAGGAGCCTCCTCCACGTTGGACACTGATTTCCTTCACTTTACAGAAAAGGCACTGAAGGCAGAGATCAGGGCATGGCCCAAGCTTGCCCAGGCAGAGGTAGAGCTGGGATTCTGACCTGGACAGCCTGAACCCAGGGCCTCTGCTCTTACCCACCAGGCTTCCCCATCTCCCCTAAAACACAGCAGGGTACAGTGGCATGCTAGAACTGGCTCAACAGAGCAGACCGTGCACATCTCGAAACTCTGCATTCACTGACATCATGCCGGTACCCTGAAATCAGCAGTGGTGGGAGTGTTGACACCAGGAAATGGGCAAACCCTACAAGCCAGGGACATTTTTGGGGAGCCGGTTCCTTAGGACACCACTAGCTGGGGGATGAACCCAGGCGGCCTGACTGCAGTGCCTTCATTCCTTTCCACTACCAGGCCCAGCTCAGGGTGCACACGGCCCAGGGGATCCACAAACCTTGGTTCCAGATGGGCCCTTGGACATTTTGCCACTTTGCCTTTCATTCCAGGGCCATCCAGTGTCAGCCCAGTCACCAGAGCCTGGGGATGTTGCTGTCGAGGAGTGAACACTTCTTCCTGACTGCTGAACTGCTGCCAAGGCCCACTCAGGCACAGAAATGGACAGGCCCTGCCATCTGCCTCCTCATCCACACCACGTGGGAGGTTCCTCTTGTCACAGCTTGGGGAACAAAGCGAGACCCCATCGGTACAAAAACCTGGCTGTGGTGCTATGCACCTGTAGTTGGTCAAAGCTCCAGTGAGCCGTGATCGTGCGCCATTGCGCTCTAGCCTGGGTGACAGAGTGAGACCCTGTCTCTAAAAACTAAACGAATAAAGATGGCCTCAGATGGGAATAGCTAGGAAAAGGAGACAGGACTCTTGAGGCAAGAGACGATTCGGGGGAGGACATTTGGGAGGAAAGGCAGAGCATGCAGCTCCACAAGGTGAGCAGAGTGGCAGGCCCAGCTCCTGGGAGTGGATGGAGTTGAAGGGGAGTGCAGGATGCGGCAGGGTCCAGTGAATAGGGGCGTGCTCACCCGGGGACTCGGCAGCAGCCCCCAGCCCTACCAGGCATCACTGCATCTCAGCTCAGGGCAAGTTTCATCATCAGCAGGGGCAGGGGTCACAGCACAGGCGCCAGAGCCTCGGTGCAAGGCGACAGGCTGACGGGCCAAGCTTGGCGCCCTGGCCATCTGCCCTTCCTGGGGGTGAGGGGCTCAAGGCCGGGCCCCACTATTGGCTGGTGCAGAGGGGAGGGCTTCAGCCCAGCAGAGCAGGGCCAGGGGCTGGTTGTGTTTTCAGAACTGCTGACACAGAGACCCCCGCCTCTCCTCCAACATGGGACATGTCCTTGACCCCAGCTCCCCACACCCTCATGCATGCCTGGGGCCTCAAAGGGGACATTCATTCCTTAATTCCTTCATCCATCCAACCAACCACTGGGTACCAGGTGGTGCAGCTGGCAGGGACTGCACACAGCCATGTGCACAACGGCGGAACCATGCCGCGTGGAGCTCTGTAGACCCCAGGCCCCTCCCCGTTCCCGAGATGGACAGACACACAAGCAGACAAGGCGGGGGCCACATGGGGCCAGTTTATTGCAGTTAAATACCTCTCTCTCTCTATTTTTTTTGTCAATTTTTCCATAAAGAAAATTAAAACACACACACACACACCCAAAGGGGAGCAGGGACCCAGAAACAAGAGGTGGGGTGGGACGTGGCCTCCCTGCATAGGTCCAGGCCCCGGGTGGCCCCCCAAAGGCTCCCCTCCTTCCCATCAGCACCCTGTCTCAGTACCTCCAGAGAGCAGGAGGCAGCGGGACGTGGAAGGGCCTCTGTCCCTCTCCCTCTTGCCTCCAGGTGAGACCACTAGAAGTGCCGGGGCTTAGTGAGGGCCGGGAGAAGGGCGACAGACAGATGGATGGGGAGGGAGGATACCGTTTCCAAGTGGAGGAGGGCGGTGGGCACTGTATCCACAGAAATCCATTATTTCTCCCCGTTTTTTGTTAAAAATCTACTATAAAAAAACGCAGCTGGGGGAGGGGCGTGTGTCCCTCTCTGTGCTAAGGGCTGGGGAAAGGGGCAGCAGAGGCCGGCGTGGGCGGCGGCGGCTGCGCGGTGGTGGCGGGCGTCACTGCCGGGTGCTCTCGCCCACCATCTCCAGGTTGTGCTGCTGCAGCTGGGCTCGAAGCAGGGCGTTCTCATTCTTCAGCTCCTCGATCTGGCGGACACGACGGAGGACAAGGGAGCTGAGGGCCAGCGCCTTGCATGTGGGGCTCCTGGGCCCCGACCCGCTCCAGGCCCTGCACCCACCTGCTGCCTCAGGAGCTCGTTGTCCATCTGCAGCCGCTCGGCCTCTTTGAAAGTCTCTTGCATGCGCTGGTTGGTCTGGCGCAACTCCCGGATGTAATCGCAGGCCTTGGACAGGATCCCTCCTTTACTCTGGGGGGCGAGGGGACCAGGAGCCTTAGGGCGGGCACCACCCACTGGCCTCCACCCCGGGGAAGACTCCCGAGCCCCATGGCAGTTGGACTTTCTGCATGCAAGGGTTGGGGGCCAGGCCCACCGCAGCCACTAAGGGTCCGGGATGCTCACCGCTCCCGTCTTGCTGTTGTCTGCATTACAGTCTGGAATGATTTTCGAAAGCTGGACGATCCAGTTGTTGATCTTGTCCCTTCGCCTCCGCTCCACTGCGGGAAACAGAGCCACAGCCACGGCTTCGCTGACAGGGCTCGTGCCCGAGCGGCCGTCCTCACAGGGCAGAGGCTCAGCCCAAGGACACCCAGGTACAGCGCAGGCCCCACTGAGACCACAGCCCTGGGAAGTGAGGGGCCGCACCCTGAGCCCAGCCGGCCCCCACCCCAGCTTCTCAAGAGGAACAAAGAAACCTGGGCCCTCCAGTGGCACACACGCTTTTAGGACGGGCGTCAAACGTCAGGCACTTTGAGTTCGTTTTACGGGCCTGCCCCGTCACACTTGTACAAATTTGAATCGACAGTTACGAATAAGGAAATATCTCATGGTAATTGGCGTCACTGGCTTCTTTTGAGACATGGAGCTCTGGTCACAGTGGGCACGTACTGGGAGGCAGGGATGGGCAGAGCCGCCCTTCGCAGGACTAGTGCCCCTCTCTGGCTCCCATGGCCCCTGCACTGGATTCTCCAGTCTCCCCAGAGACTCTGGGCACCGTGATTTTGTTTTTTTCCTCATCTCTAATTCCAAGTCTGACCATGTTTCACCCCTGCTTAAAATCCTTCCACAGGGTAATGGCAGATCCCAACTGGTATTTGCAGCTCCCAGGCCTGGCCCACAAGGCCAGGAAAGACACGAACCCTATGCTGAAGGTCAGAGATGGCAACTCATAGAAGATTTTACTTAAAAAACCCAGATTTGTGATTTTACTCCATAAAACTCCACAATCTCACGCCAACTGTGTCGGCCGGGTAGCAGCTGTCCCCAGACAGAGCACAAGCCTGCCTCTGGCCACATGCCATCCTGATACGTGCCTGGGGTCTGTGTGCCACGGAGCCTGAGACCCCTGACCCAGGGCCTGCTAAAGCCAGGCTGTCCCAACCCTTCACCGCCTGCCAAGCCCCAGCACCAGGCACCGTGGGGACAGGAAAGAACGCTCAGCTACCCCCAATTCCCACCCCACGGAACCCCAGCCCCCTGCCAGGGTGGCCCATGCTGTCTGTGGCATTGGCGGTGGGGAACAAAGCCTATAGCTAGGGCAGATGCGGCAGGAAGGCCGGGGATCTTTTCAAAGCCTTGGATAATGGTGATGGGATACCAGGCTGGGGTCCAGTGAGCCTGAGAAGGAGGGGTGGGCCACAGCCTGCCCATTACCCTCACACCCGGAGATCAGCTGCTCCCCGGCCCCGCCGTTCCCTCTAGAAGGCTGGACCCACCCATCGGCAAACCCCTCTGGGCTGTGGCCGTGTGCCGCTGACTGGCCTCTACCTGCCTCCTGTGCCTCCCACTCAGGTCCGAGTGACAAACCCTCCGAATGACATGGACTCTCCTCCTCCCACCGTGACCACTCTTCCCTGGCCCCTCTTCCACCCTTGAGCTCCCTCTTTCCTCCAAAACCAATACCCGAAGATCAGAGCTCACTATGGAGCACGGTCCAGGCCCTGCACTGGGCTCAGCGAGTGCTTGCTCCCGTTACTATCACGGTGCGCCGAACCCTCCCACCAAAGACAGCCACACCTGCCTTTGGGAACTCTGGCCAAAAGCAGCAGCAGAGCTGACAGTCCAAGCCCGGAGACACCGCTCGCGCAGTCCCCAGCAGAGCGCTCCTCGCCCAGGGGTCCGTGGAGGAACTCGGCAGATGGCCTTGTTTCGGCCTCTGCCTTCCCTCAGCCCTCTCAAGGGCTGGGCGCCGGCTGCAGCTACATCCTCTCCAGCGCGCGTTTACTTCTTACACACCTACTCTCTGCCCTACTGTATGCCAGGCCCTCTGCCAGGCCGGGGTCCAGGGTGGAAGCAGCCCCACTGTGCCCCATTGGCACTCACAGCACCACTGTGGGCAGGTGGCACTAACCCCATAACATTTGTGTCACCACCGAAGACGGTACAAAGTGCCTCGGGAACACCAGGCGCTGAGCCATGGCCTCTGCACGGGAATGGGGGTGGGATGAATCCTCAGAGATCCAGGAAACATTTGGGCCGGTTCCTGAGAGAAGGGCTCTAAGGCATGCAGGTGGGAAGATCCCAGAAATGTTGGCTTGAAAACCATTTCAGGGTGTGCAGGGGCGGGAAGAGGTTGTAAAGATCGGTTGTCAAGGCCTTGCGTGGTCTGCTCGCACGTCAGGACCAGGGTGCTCTGTTCTGTAGTGAATTTCAGATCCTCCTCTAGAGGCCCAGGCCCTTGAGTCTAGGCCCTGACTTCAGCAGGTGGTGATGCTGTCCAGCCTGTGGCTTCGGAACACCATCATGGCACATTTGAAATACAGGACCAAGGCCACGTTCATTCCACAGAAGCACTTCAGTAACTCCATAGGACACTTACAATTCAGAGGCTAGGCGGGGTGGCTCACGCCTGTAATCCCAGCACTTTGGGAGGGCGGATCACATCAGGCCAGGAGTTCGAAACTAGCCTGGCCAACATGGCGAAACCCCGGCTCTACTAGAAATACAAAAATTAGCCAGGCATAGTGGTGTGCGCCTATAATCCCAGGGACTTGGGAGGCTGAGGCATGAGAATTGCTTGAACCCAACTGCACTCTAGCCTGGGTGACAGAGAGCGACTCTGTCTCAAAAAAAAGAGAGAAAATTCAGAAGCGAAACCTACCAGGACTGAAGGAAGAAATGGACAAATCCACAAACATAGTGAGAGACGTGGACATCCTTCTCAATGATTGGTAGAACAAGTAGACCAAAAAAAAAAAAAATCAGAATAGAAAACCTGAACACTTAACCAGCCTGACCTCACTGACCTGGGGGGACATTCTGCCTGACGGCAGCAGACACCTGTCCTCATCGATGCCCCAGAAGCTTCCGCCAAGCTAGGACACATTCAGGCCCGTCGGGTAAGTCTCATCAAATTTCAAGGAACTGAAATCATACAGAGTATGTTCTCTGACCATAACAGAAATTAAAAATCAGTAACAAAAAGATATCTGGAAAACCCACATATATTTGGAAATTAAGCAATCTGCCTCCAAATAACAGAAAGGTCAAAGAATAAATCACAAGGAAAATTGGAAAATATAAACTGAGTAACAAAAACACAACACATCCCAGTGGGAGGTAGCTAAAGTGATGTTGGAGTGAACTGGTAACTCTAAATGCTGTTAGGCAAAGACAAAGCTTAAGAATCATCTCAATCCCTGCTGTGAAACATAAACCCTGTAAAATAAAGATTTTAGTAGAAAATTGAAAAAAAAAAATTACCTTAAAAAGCTGGGGTTGGGGCATGCCAGGGGAGCCAAAGCACAAAACCTAGCAAACTGAATCCAAAGTGAGTAGAAGGGGCCGGGTGCAGCGGCTCACTCCTGTAATCCCGGCACTTTGGGAGGCCCAGGCAGGTGGATAACCTGAGGCCAGGAGTTCAAGATCAGCCTGGCCAACACGGTGAAACCCCATCTCTACTAAAAATACAAAAACTAGCTGGGTGTGACAGCGGGCACCTGTAGTCCCAGCTACTTGGGAGGCTGGGGCAGGAGAATCACTTGAACCCCGGAAATGGAGGTTGCAATGAGCTGAGATTGCAGCCTGTGACACAGCAAGATTCCGTTTCAAAACAAAAAAACAAACAAAACAACAAAGTGAGCAGAAGCATGAATTAGTAACATTAAGAGCAGAAAGCAATGAAACGGAAGAAGCAATCCAATCTGGCACCTAAAAGTCAGATTTCACATAGAAGTCTCGATTTCTGGCTTCTCAGAGTTTCTGACAACAGTGGCCCTAGATTCTGACAGGGCAGCAAGGGGAAGGTACTGGGCAAGGGCCACCCTTCAGGCAGGATACACGTGCCCCAGATCATTGGGGGCCCCCCACACCCTTTCCTATTTTTTTCTGAGACAGGGTCTGGGTCTGTTGCTCAGGCTGGAGTGTAAAATCAGCTCACTGCAACCTCCATCTCCCGGGCTCAAGTCACCCTCCCACCACAGGTTCCCAAGTAGCTGGGATTGTTACAGGCATGTACCACCAGGCCTGGCTAATTTTTAAATTTTTTTTGGTAGAGACAGGGTTCTGCCACATTGCCTAGGATGGTCTCAAACTCCTGGGTTCAAGTGATCCGCCTGTCTTGGCCAAAATGTAATCCCAAAAGTGCTGGGATTCCAGGTGTAAGCCACCACACCCAGCCACACACCCCTTCCTAACATGCCAAGTGCACCTCCCGCCTCAGGCCCCTGCAGGCATTTGAGTTTGTGACTGTGGGATGATCTCCTGCGGTACCAAGAAGTGGTGGGAAGGAGGGAAAAAGAAGTGAGAGAAGCGGATCTGAAACTCACCATAGAACAGAAACTTGGGGTTTGTGGCCATAAGGGAAGAAGAGGGCAGGGCTGAAAGCGGCTCTGGTCTTAAGTTTCTGGCTTGGGCAGTTGTGACAGGGGTAGCTTTTGCTGCTCTGCAAAGAGGAATGTTGCATGAGAGCCTTTGGAGAGGGGAGATGGCACATTCTGTTTTGGGCGAGTTGAGTTGGACGCATTACAGGGATGTCCGAAGACGGAAATCTTGAACGGGTAGTTCAGAATGTGGGGCTGGAGTTGCAGTGAGAGGAATGGAATGGGATGGAAACACAGTTCCTTGCATTACCAGGAGCCAGGTGGTGGGCAAAGCCTGGGAGGACATCAAGGAACAGTCCTCAACTTTTTGTGAGTCACACACTCTTCTGGAGCCAAGAAGGAAGAGGACCACCTACAAGTGGGAACGGAGTTTGGGGGATACTGACCAAGAGCTTCCAAGCCTGTCGCTGGGCCTCACACATCATACACCTGGGGCCGACGGAAGAGGGGCTGGACCTTATGAAACACCAGCAAGACTGGGCGTGGCTGCTCAGGCCTGTAGCCAAGGCTGGAGGACTGCCTGAGGCCAGAAGTTCAAGACGAGCCTGGGCAGCATAGCAAGACCTCCACTCTACAGATAAAAAAAAATGACCCCATGTGATGGCACCTGCCTGTGGTCCCAGCCACTCAAGAAGCCTGAGGTGGGAGGATTGCTTGAGCCTGGGAGGTCAAGGCTGCAGTGAGCTGTGATTGTGCCACTGTACTCCAGCCTGGGTGACAGAGTGAGACCCCCTTCTCAAAAACAAAAGAAACACTCGCAGCTAAAGCAGTTTCTCAACTTGTCCACTATGACAAATCACCTGAAGAGCTGATGGAAAACACAGATTCCCGGCACCCCCACCTACTCACTTGGAATGGGGAGAGCCCTGGAAATTTCATTGTTAACAGTGGGGCAGGAGAGGCAAAGATCACAGGAGAATCAGAGAGGGTGGAGGAAAGGAAGATTCCAGAAAGGAACAGAGGGAAGCAGGCAGCGTCAGATGCTTGGAGCCCAGACAGCAAAGGAGGCCAGTTGATGTGGCAATGGGGTCACCATGGGTGACCTGAGTGGAGCTGTTTTGGTAGAGCCATGAGCCAGACGGCCGAGGGTACTGGGAGGATGAGCAGATCGGGCAGATGCTCTGCAAGTCAGAAAGCAGACAGGACGGGGCTGGAAAAGTGGGCAGGTGACGAAGACTGCTTCACAAGGACAGAAAGTCTCAAGACTGCCTGGAGTCACATTAACCGAGGGAGAGGCAGGGGTGAGAGTGGGGTGGGAGGGTCCCGAGTCCTCTCCTCAGCCTGTGTGGCCACCTCGACTCACTGCATCCCCACCAGGTGTCGGAGGCAGCCGTGCTTCTGGCATTTCACAGAGGGGAGACAGGCACGGAGATTAAGAACCACCCTGATGCCCCACCATAGGTAAGTGGTAGCGTGGGGGCTGCTCTGGGGGCCCCTCAAACTCACTGCATCCCAAAACCAAGCTCAGATGCACCCCTTCCCTTCCAAGCATGGATGGGAGTTCAGCACGAAATCCTGACTCTCCAGCCATGGAGTCCTCCCCCCATTCCCCTCAACCCCTGCCCTGTCTCAGGCCTGACACCCGAGTGGTGTCCTATCTCCCAGCCTCTTCCCACCACCCTTGCCAGCAGCCTCCACGCACAAACCCCTCTGCTGGCTTCTCATCACCCTGGAATAAAACCACAGGAGTCCAGACAGTCACACTAGGGACTTCTTTCAAGGTCCTCCACCATCTGGCCTGGGCAGCCCCCTCCACTGCGCCGACTTCCTCTTTCCTTTCCTGAATTCTGCTCTTCTGCAGACACACCACGGCGGTCCCGGTTCAGGGCCTGGCCTGTGTCCTAGCTCTTCCCTCTGCCCAGCACTCTCCTGAGGTTCTCAACAGGCCCCTTCCCTCAGGTCCCTTCAGGACTCTGCTTCAATGTCACCTCTCGAAGAGCCCTTCAGAGCACAGTGCCATGCCGCCATCACCCACCACCTCCTTCCCCAGCTTTCCTCTCCTGCCTGTGACTGCCTGCGCTGCCTGATGCCTGCTTTGGCTGTGTATGACTCCATCTCTCCCACCAGAACACGCACAGAGAGCTGAGACCTCGTCTGGCCTATTACCTGCTGCATTGCCATATCTGAAGACGCAAAACGGGGGCTGGCCATAGTATGCACACGCGGAATGAATGCCTGAACTCAGAGAGGAACTGCTCAGAACACAACTACCTGGGCCACAGACCCCAGCCCCATGGCCACCGTTAGGACTGAGATTCAGCGCCTCACTCAGGCATTTAAGGCCTTCCTGATCTTCCTGATCTTCCCTCCTGAGGCATTCCAGATGGAACTTCTCCCACAACCAAACCAGCACCCCACAAAGTAACCTGACCCAAACTCCCCTCTCCCTGGGGAAGCCTCACCCCAGCCCACTCTCCATCAATGTCCCACGAGACCCGTGAGACATGAGCCTGCCGGCCTTCGAGCCTCCCCAACGCTCCAGGCCAGACTCCAGACCTGGCACAGGGCTTGTGCCGCTCGGCCCAGAACCCACGGGCAGTAAATATTTGTTGAATGATGGTTGTTTGGGTATAAGCACTCCCCTGGCACTTGCACGCTGCTGTGCCCACTACAGTGGCTACTGACAGGCAGGGTGGGGGCGAGGGGACAGTGTCGAAGGCCAAATGACCTGAGGTGAGACTTGGTGTTTCTGGAAAGGGCAGGATGCTCCGGCCTTAGGCAGCCAGAGGCAGAGCTTCATGTAGTTTCTGCCTCAGATGTGCTCCCTGGGGGAACAGACCTACTTCTGGAGGCCAGGCAGGCATGGGAATGAGGGACGTGAGCATGACAGCTGCCACGTGGAAAGGTCAGCTCAGGTGAGCCCGGTCAGCCCCAATTTTCAAGTGGGGCAGGCAATCCGTATGGGAACGTGAAATCCACCATCTTAGATGTGGGCCATGAATTCAAGATCACCAGCCGGGTCAACACATGGCCAGTTCCAGTTCACACTCCCTGTCCCTCTATTTCTGACACTGTACTCTCCCCTCGTTGCTCACTTTCTACCTTTACAGCGTCCAGCAAAGCCCTCTGGAGCACTTGTGGCCTGCCAGGAGTGGCTTCCCTCTCTGTCACTCCACACCCTGGGGCTGGCTGAGCCTGTGAGGGCGGTGGTCGGGGGGGACCCGGAGCCACACCTTGTCCTCACCTTCATTGTGCTGGGCTCTTCTCCTCTCATCTCGGGGTGTTCTGGTTCCATCAATTTTTCTAGAAAAGGAGGAAAAAAAAGCGGCATGTATTATCACAGATTTGTTTGTCCAAGCATTTGTTAAGTATTAGACTTAAAAATTATCTTTTTCAGGTAAATCCCTGTGCAAAAACGAGATGATACTTTATGTGCACTAAAGAAGCAGAAACAAGCAAAGAAAAAAAAATTACACCATGTGCCCGCTTCATGCTAACCGCCCAGCTTCTACTCCAGAAACCCCTCCCTTCAGTTCCAATGCCAGGCCCGCCTGGTGTCGCCTGCACATACGGAGAGTAGGGGTGTGTCCGGGGGGCGATCGTCCTCTGTGTTCCTGTCTGAAGCACATCCTGGGGCGTCATCATGACGTAGAATTGGCCTGCAGGGATAGTGGGGGTTAGTGGCAAGACAGGGTGAAGTCAGAACTGGTTGCAGGGGCTTCCCTCCCTGCTGGGCCCGCTGCCTCCCCGACCTGCCAACCTGGCTTCCTCCTCTCCTCACCTCCAGCCTGCAAGCTCTGGTCTGTGGTCTGTACGGACACAGCCGTAGTATCTCCCACACTGGACGCTGGGAAATAGGCAAATCGTGCCTCCCCGCTGACAGCCTCGGCCGCAGGGCTGCCACCATTGCTGAAGGGATTTTGGATCACAGCCTGGGGAGTAGGAGGACAGAGACTACCCTTAGCTTTCTCTGTTCCTCTATCCGGTCCCCTCATTGCTGTGCTCGGGGTTTACTGCATTCTCCGCAATTAGCAGGAGTGGGGACTCCTTCTGCGAGTAGCATTCTGTCCTGTGTCTCAGACAGCCCTGGAACATGGCAGGAGGTCAGCGATCACTTGCTGAGCCAATCCGTTTTGCACTCTAAGAAACTTTCCTCTTAGACACATCATTCCCGTTTTGCAGAAAAAAAAAATTCCAAGAGCACCGTCCCCAGGTTTCAAGGTGCACAAGAGGGAGCTGACCCCATGCAGCCTGAGGCTTGAAGGCAGCATCTCCTGGGCGACACCTGCCCCACCCCCGGGGATCCCCAAGAGCAGAGCCAGTGTCCCCTCTCCACCCCCCGTCCAGGGGTGGCAGGGCACCTACCAGCGGGAAGGGCGCTGCAGGACCTGGGGGCACAGAGGCAGCGGCGGGG